ACTACTACTACTACTAGTACCACTGTCGCAACTACCAACATAGCTTCTGTTCTGTGTCGCATCCACTGCCTCTGATACTGCTGCTGGTGCTGCAATATACCACTTCATACGCGTATGACAAGTCACAAGTGTTTCTAATTTCAATATCAATCAAACTTTGTCAAGATGTCGTGCGGCGTGAGCAGCTTGCCGCATTGTTGCTGCTAGTCCGACAGTCCAATATGATTGGTTTGGAGTGCAGAAGCTGAGCGTGATGTCTCAGCAGTCTTGCTGGGAGTCATGCAGTGAGTTTGAAAGCGAAGCAGTTGTCAGTCGCATTCAGCTGGCAACGCTCAGACTTGAGGCGGCTACCATTTGCAGAAGGTTCGCGACGTGACAAGGCAAACTTGCCGGTCCGCAGCTTTGCACGGTCGTCAAGCAGTGCTGGTCCACAGCAAGATGCGCAGACAAGAGTGGTGTGTCAGCAAGGTTGTGCTGCTCACACGAGTTGGACGAGGCTTTGCAGAGGCTTGGCCAAGACAACACTGAACGTTTACAGAAAGAAGTGCCTTGTGCAATGGCTGCAGGGATTGCTCTTGGGCCAATGGACGGGCAAACTGATGGGCGACATCGGTGTGGAGGTGAAGCATTTGGAGTGTTGCGGGCAGAGGTTTGAGGATGTTATATCTGGTATGTCATTTTGGATTCTGAGCCAGCAAATCACCCGCAAGGCGCGAAGCAACTGCAGGCACTTTGCAGTGACTCAGTTCGGGCGAGGCTCAAACAAGTCGAGCCGGCCCAGAGTTCTGACCATCTCAACGGGACGCCTGACATGGGCCTGGACCGCATGTGTCTGCAAAATGCGGATTGAAGCTCGCACCCAAGTTGGCGGGAATGGCGCTTCATGCATCCGCCACACACGTTAACCCGCTTTAGGTTCAAGATAAACTGGACCAGAGAATAGCAAAGCATCAGGCGGCGATGCGCGAATGCGAGACAAAAGAAGGCCAATAGCAGCACACGAGGACTTGGCCCTAGCTGGAGCGATAAGCTGTTTGGCGGGACTCGACAACGCGAATACATAGGCAATTGCAGAACGCTCGCGGGCACAGATGCTCACCAAGCCGTTCTGGCATCCGGAAGGTCGTGTACGTTGTCTTTTTTCCCTGTGTGGAAGCTTCGTTTAGACGTACATGTCTATCTCCTTTGTGGCTTGTGTCTCCGTACACGCCCAGCTCTCGTCTACAGGCGAAGTCACCTTCAAACATACATGGGGGTCCAAGGGGCTCGTTGCCAGTATTAGCAGTCGCCTGTGTACGGAAGAAGAGAACGATTCCTAATCGTTTTTCGGGATTTCGGTTCTCGCTCCTTCATTTGAGGCAGTATGTCTTGGCTAGCATGTGTTGTGCTCCGACTTCACCTGCAGCGAGCAATTTACACTTCAGCATTTTGTGCGCAACTTGCAGATCTGGAGGATTAGTTACATTTGGTGTGACAGTCTGAATAGAGACCGTTTAAGCAGTACAGAACAACGGGTACGAACCGATTGTTAGAGCTGACAAAGTGAGGAACTGAAGAGGTTTCTTTCGTACGACAACGGTGCCTCTGGGTTGTGTTTCTGAGGTAAATGAGAACAATACGAGACATGTATGAGAAACATCAACGAACACAGAAAACATAGGCTGACATAACTGAACACAGGAATCAGATAGGAGCGAAATAGGAGAACAGAAAGAGAGACATAGCAGAACAACAAGAGAAACACAGGAAAACGTCGGCAAACCATAGTTTACAACAGTAGATTCCAGAGGAACACTCTAAAGATTTATGATTTTCTTGCTTGGTAAGAAGGAAGATCCAGGAGAAACAAGGAGAAAATAGGAAATGTGAGAACAGAAGGAGGAGCTCTAGAGAAAACGGGGGCAACATGAGGACAACCCTAAGTAACAACCATGAGAAAAGTGTTTCAAGCATCAGTGGTAAGAAAAAGCCTAGGTCAAAACAATGATGCGTCAAGGAATACGTCATAGAAAATCAATGGGTTTCAAGTTTTTCTGGTTTCACTGTTTCGTCCTAGTTTTCCGGCCGGGGTTGGTTTCGCGTCAGGGCCTGACAGTGTCAGGCCTGATACGAAAACGGCTGTGGCACGGAATGGGTTCAGGGTTTAGTTTAGGGTTTAGGGTTTAGGGCCGTTCAGGGATTACGGACTGGGGAGGGATTAGGGTTTAGGGTTTTTGAAGGTTTAGGGTTTAGGGCCGTTCAGGGATTAGGGATTAGTGATTAGGGTTTAGGGTCTTTGAAGGTTTGGGGTTTAGGGTTTAGGGGCGTTCAGGAATTAGAGACTAGGGAGGGATTAGGGTTTAGGGTTTTCGAAGGTTTAGGGTTTAGGGTTTAGGGCCGTTCAGGGATTAGAGATTAGTGATTTATGAGGGTTTAGGGTCTTTGAAGGTTTAGGGTTTAGGGTTTAGGGGCGTTCAGGGATTAGAGACTAGGGAGGGATTAGGGTTTAGGGTTTTTGAAGGTTTAGGGTTTAGGGGTTCAGGGATTAGGGATTAGGGAGGGATTAGGGTTTAGGGTTTTTGAAGGTTTAGGGTTTAGGGTTTAGGGGCGGGCCCTGAGCCACATCACTCGTGACACTTTCTTAGCTTCGATCGAGAGAGTAGGTGCCTCTCGGGCCCAAGCAGTACCCCTATAGTTTGGTTTTCTCCTATTGTGTAGTTACCTAGAAAACACAGGGCAAAATAGGACAACCATCGATTTTGTATGGTTTCCCTACAGTGTCTATTGTTTTTGCTCAGGTCCTGATTAGTTTGCATAGTTCCTACTAGTGGGACTAGTTGTTCTTTCTTACGTAGTGTGCCTACATTCTCACAGTTTCTCCGAACATTCCTTCCTAGTGTTCTCCTAAGTCCTAGACTCCCGCGTTTCTTTGGTGTGTATTTCGTGTTTTCTCTCCACTGCAGTTCCGTTTGTTTGCTGTTGATGAGAGTGCAAGATTCCTCATGTGATTCTTATACTTATGATCCGTTTTACTCGTGGAGTTGGCTAGAGTTGATACAAGATACGGACATAGTCTGATATTACATGGACCAGACGTCAACGGAACAAGTACGACTTTTCAGTGGTTTGTCAGTGGTTTACAGTACGCAAGATCAAAGCTACGGTTGATGCGCTAAATTTGCTAAATCCGGCACGACTTTGAACATCTTAACGATTCCCCTGCTACCCCTAATTTTAGTATTGTTCTGACGCAGGGGCTGGAAAAGGGCTTGAGCGAATGTTGTAGGTCATGCAGGATTTTGGGCATCAACTGTATGAGTGTCATTAGCAAGTGAGAAATACAGTTTTATGCAGCGTTGAGAAAACAAGATCCAAATTGCGTGAAGTATTGCTCAGAGAAGCCTGGTCATACTTCAAGGGTTCTGAAGCTGCCAGGATTTCATGACCAGACCATTATACCATGGCGGGCCGGGTGCCACTTGGTTGAAAACCAGCGACGCAGTTGTTGCCGCTACGTCTTGGAATTCGGCGAGATTTGCAAAGCTTTATATGTGTTGAGGGTCATGGAGGATAAAAGTCGCATGCGGTTATGAAGACAAACAGTATGCAAATCAGTTGACCAGATGTACAGCACGGAGGGTTTGACATGCTTGCCTGATCTTGTCGCATACAAGGCCAATGGCACTGGATTGTCCATGGTCCACTCGTGCTGGTCTCAAGATGAATCTGGTGAGTAGTAGGTGTGCAGCTCATTCCCTTCCCTCGAGTCGAGGTATCCAGAAATGCCGGGATCCACCGTGCTTTCTGCTGACGGTCTCGCCTGGAGGTTTACTTCCGTGCTGATGCTCGGATGCTCGACTGTCCTGCATACCAAGCTGGTGGAGACTGTCGATTCCTTTGTCGAGTGGGTCGAACACAGTTCTCAGGGACACATGATCACACTTTATGGAGCCGGCACAAGGATGGTAACAGCTTAGTTCGAGCGACGGACTTCGGTGCATCTAGTCACAGCAGGATCCTTTGGAAGAAGTGTGGATAGCAGGTTGAAACATAGATGGCAGCTACGCTTAATGGTGTCAATCAGCCCTGCAGTTTCCGTAGCAATGCGATGCAAGATTGCCATTGACGGGCCCTGGCACGATGGCTGGACTTGGCGGCACATGGTCGCAACCTTGCTGGCATCATTTGTTGCGGTGCGTTGCTGGCCGTCGTCACCGTTTGTGATGGGTCAGCGAACGTCCGCTCGGGACACCCTGGTATCAAGACGAGCCGGAAATCCCTTCGACGTGTTGGGCCTGCCTCGGAGCGCTTCCTACGACGAGATCCGCTCAGCTTTTCGCAGCCTGGCCAGGAGCAGCAATTGCATCAAAGAAATAATGCGGCTTTGGATCTGCAGTGGTTGAATCATAAGCGGCTTTGCAGCCGCTGCTATGATCGTGCTGGTTCCGATTGCTTGCAGGTGTTAGGGCCCCCGTGCGAGCTCCGTGCATCTTGGGTGCTGGTGACGCGCCTGGTGGTGGCGGTGGTGGTGCTTATGGCAACAGGGTGCTAAGTTGTAGTGTGCTGCCGCTGATGATGCTGGCTGCTTGTTCTGCTTCAGCTATTGTTGCCTGCTTCTGGATTGTTGTTTATCTTGTCGTTGTTGGCACAGCGCCTCTGCCGCTGTGATTACGTGTCGCGTGTGTGTCGTCGTCGCGATTGTCACCTGGGCCTATCTCGGCCGTTTGCGTGGCCCGTCAATATTCCGATGTTCGAACTTAGCCCGTTTGTCAGAATGGAACCGATCGAACGAAGTTCAAGCAATCTTTGATTGTGCAGTTTAAGCCTGAAAGTTTTACATTGTTTCTGTGCTATGAGTTTGCTGTGATGTCGTCATTTCGAGTGAAGCTGGGGTCGTCTGAGACATGTGTGCTCCACCTCCAGGACTTGGGGGATGGGGGAGTATATGTCTATGTCGTTGCCTGCTAAGTCTGCTGCTTTGACTACGACTGTTGCAGTGGCTCCGCAGCGGCTACCGCTGCTGCTTTGCTTCTTCTTCGTCTTCATGTTTCATGGTTCATGATGATGATGATGATGATGATGAAAACAACGATAATGATGACGCCACCGCTGCTGCTGCTGCTGCTGCTGCTGCTGCTGCTGCTGCTGCTTCCGCCGCACTTAGGAACACTGGAGAGGCAGTGCATCTACTGCAATGCAGTGACATGTTGCTGGGTCGTGGCTTCGCGCAGGACATACCACCCTGATGTGCCAGGCAAGTCAGGGCAGGGTTTTGTAGGCACTCTGGGTGATGTGGCTACTCATTCTGAACCCTTGTACCACCGTGCACATCATGCCCAGTCGCAGATGTCGGACACTGTTTTGAATTAAATGGCACGTGAGAGGTACTGGTGACGAGGATCGCTTCCGCTCTATTCGCGAGGCACTACCGTGCATTGTGCCATTGAGATGCAAATCCAGTTTTGACGAAACCTAAGGCCTTGGAGCAGCTAGGCACTGCGGAAGGCAATGCCATTGGCTCACTGCGATTTGAGTTGCTCGTTTTTTTCCCTTGCCAGGGCGGGCCCGTTGGTCTTCCACGAAAAAGGCGACGTCTAGATCAGCCGACAGCTACGCCTACAGTAGCTACAGTAGCTACAGCAGCAGCAGCGGCAGCAGCAGCTATGGCTACAGCACTCGCCACAGGCACTCGCAGTGTTCGGAGATTTGACTCGACAGGCGGTTCTTCGCCATTGATAAGGGTAATCAGTCGGTGCTGTGTGCCTGAGGCAAGGCCAGAGCAGTTGGGAAGAGGAAGTTCGAAGCCGAAAGACTCGACAAGAGGAGCAGCGATGGAGGCAAAGGGCTGAAACATGCTCGGAAAATTAAATGCAGATGCACTGCAGGCAGCAGCAGAAGCAAGAGAGGGATGCACAGAAGCAGGCGGTCGCAGTTAATAGTTAATTTAAGCTTAGCCATCACTGCTGATGTCTCAGTCTGCTGCGTCTGCCGCACGTGTTGTGGAGCAGCCTGCGTATACGACACAGACATCCATGACCAATGCTTCATTGCTATGCACAGATTGGCACAGAACCGGATCCAAGCACGTGAGTGCCTGACCGACAACCAGACCGAACCCCCCCACCCACCCACCCACCCACCCACCCGCCCGCCCGCCCGCCCGCCCTCACCAACCAACCAGCCAACCAACCAGCCAACCACGCATGCTGCACATTTCTGAGACAGTCCTTGCACGCTCACACAGACGAAGAGGCCAAGGCCGCTGCTGCTCAAGATGTGTTCTTCGAGCGGGAACTGCGCAAGGCACATACTTGGTGTCCGCTGGCAGAAATAATTCTCATCGACGTGCCTTGGAGTCATATGCTGTTCAGGGCTACAGCACGGCTCCACTGCAGAGTGTCGTGTAGCAGCAGTGACTCCAAAGCATGAAAATTGGTGATTGAGTATGTCAAAGGGGTAGCAATGCCGCATGAATAGCCATGGTCATGAGTCATGTTCTGTTCCGGGGCACCAAGAGCTAGCCTCAAGCAAGCCTTATTAAGTTCCCACCTCCTTTCACTGCAAGCTTCCAAGTCTCGGAAGTCATGATCCAATATCAAGCTTTGTTGGGTATGAGTTCTAGCACGACCTGCGTAGACCTTGCAAAACGCCAACATTGTCCTAGAATGGGTGGCCTTTCCCATGGTGCCATACTGGCAGCATGTCCGTGAGAGAGCTGCTGTCTCCGAAGCCGGTGTAGGCCTCATGCACGGGACTGCTGTCAAGGCACTTCCTGTTGAAGCTTTGTGCTGCAGAACCGTTGGTCGTACTCGCGCCATGGTGGAGTCGAAGTTCAAGCCACACGACAGAGTGCGGTTCTGTGGCCTTGTGTCTTTGATTGCAGCCGGCTTTTGCGTGGCCCTGCGGCACGGGCAAGCCGCTTGTGCTTCACATCCAATCCAAGGTAAAGAACTCAGATGACAACGGAAAGCAAGGAACGGTTGTGGAGTATCATAAGGAATTGGGAAAATACTCGGCGATGGCCTTAAGCTGTTGTGCGCGTGATGTAGCAAAGCCTGTGCGAATCTGGGCATCTCGTCTGGTCACTTCATCATGACCGCAGCAGCGGCCTGTGTTTTCATGATTCCCTCAACCTTTGCAAGCTTTATTCGTGCTTTCACTGAGTGGGGCATACGACTTTGAATTCATGTTACAGCCCTCCAGACCAGGGAAGAAAGCAGCCGGCCAATTTGTGTTGTTCTGACCCAACCTGGCAGCATGCCCAATGTTCTAGATCTCGATCTCGGCCTTGCATGTCGTTGCATTGTTTCATGCTCAGGTCCTAGTGGGCTGGCAGCAGCAGCCTGTGAAGGTAAAAGAGGAGCTTCATGGCTCGGTCTTGGCAAGTTGAGACGTATGACACCAAACCGTTAACTTGAACCAGATCTGGTCGGGTTGTTGTGACGCAGCTCTACAGCAAACAGTTTAGCCCGGCCAAGGAATCTGGAGAAAGTATCCGAAGATGCCACTCCAAAGGCACCCGTGGTACCTGACAGGCAAGGACGGTTGCAAAAGGGTGATTGCCACAGTGAGGATCTGCGGCGTCGCAGGTCACCGTCCAATGCCGAGCGCGAGGCATCTCAGAAGAGAGAGAAACGAAGCAGGAGCCGAAGCTGAAACCGCTGTGCGTGGCACTTGTGCTGAGTCGGAAACTGCATCGAGGAGCAAGCGCAAGAGCAGGTCCCGGTCCCGAAAGAGGCGGAGGACGAGTCTTCATCCAGCTCCGCAGAACGTGTCGGCCGCGGTGTGCGCAGAACTCTGCGGGGGCCTTGGGCGCAGGAGTCGGAGCCGCTCCCGGCACCGCTCGCGCTCGCGGGAGCGGGAGCGGCGCTCGCGGAAGCGGAGCCGAAGTCCCGCGAAGGAGGCAAAGGGGCCGGGACCGACGGGGGCCGTCTCGGCTCGGCTTCTTCTCGAAGTTGCCGCAGGAAGTTGCGAGAACTTCCGCAAGTACGGCGCCGGCTGCGACGGCCGTCCTCGGCCAGGCCGATGTTTCAGTCGTGACCATCCATGCATGGCGTACCAACCAAGCGACTCCAAATAGGGAGAGGGGTCGCAGCGCTCCCCCAAAGAATGTGGGTTTTCTCAGCAAGCGCCTCTTTTGACATCTAGATTCTGGATTCAGCAATCTGCTGATCCCGTATTGACCGAGAAATAGAAGTTAATCACATCAACTACGAGTGGCCCATGGGCAGCCAAAGTGTAGAGACTCTTAGACTCACAGCCGTATGCAGCATCGCTAAACCCTAAACCCATGTAGGACCAGACCCACAGAGGCCAAGCATTCCTCATAGAGAGCGTGCGGTTCACGCCGAGCAGTCTGTGGCTTACAGCACACATCCTGCATCAGGTCACAACGCCTTCAGCCTTTCAAGAGAAAGGAGACCGGAAGGCATGCGACAGCAGTTTAAGTCTCGAGAATGAGTCGATGTGTCAGCATAAACATTGTTTACGTGGGCTTTGATCGACACAGCCATCTTCCAGTGTGTTCTGTGCAGGGCGGAAAGGGTGGCAAGGGCAAAGGAAAAGGTAGCGGCAAAGACCGGACCACCCAAATCTCGAAGGCAGGGGGTGCACAGAACCGTCTTTCTGCGCATTGTGCTTGTGCGCGGAGGCACTGGCACGTGTGCTACGACATACCGCGGCGAGCCAGGGTATCCAGATCCGTGCAGATGGCTTCTGCAGCTTAGAGGACTGTCGCGTTTGATGTGGTTTCATATTTTTGCGAGCGTAGAAGAGAATCCCGAGGACCTGCTGAAGCTCCAGGACTTTACCTCATTGTCTTGTAACGCGGAGGAGGTCAAAGCAGGAAGCCCGGGGGCTTCCTTAGGTTGTCGAACACTTTCCGGCTAAGGTTTCCAGCTCAAGTATCCGCTTGCTTCTGGGGTTCCTTTGGCACAAAGCGTTGGCTAGCAGCTTTCATGCGCATCTTCGCTGCCGCTTCCTTCTCGTCGAGTGTGCTTGTATATTTGGGACTGTGTCTTATTTCTGCGTGTGAGCAGGATGTAGTCGGTTTGAAAGAATCCCAAAAGTTTTAGGGTGATTTCCCATTTTCGCCTTCTGGCTGCAGTCTCGGAAGTTGTGTCAGGTCGCTGTGGCCTCCAACGATAAGAAGCGCTTCGAAATCAGCGAAGAGTCCGGCAAGGAGAGGGCAGCGATATCACGTACTATCCGTGCTTGAGAGCAAGCTGCATCTTGTGCAGGTTTTTGTCCGGGCCGTGCAGGGACACTCCATCAAGGCATCCCAAGTCATTGCATCGGATATGTGCCTTGCAGTGGCAAGAAAATGACGGACCAAAACGATCAAACACGACAGAAGTAGTTGAGCAGTTGATGGTTGTGTACCAGATCCGTCAGTCCTGGCATCGGAATGTCTCTTGGCCTTGGCATAGCTGAACTTGTCACTGGTGTTCGCATGGCTTTGTCCAAAACAGGCGGTGGCAGACGAGAGCCTTCTTTCTCGTCTGGGTGCGGCTGATGCCGACCTTCCAACAGTTTGCTGTCCAAAGAGTGCATGGCACGTGCTCATGACAGACTGTTCAAGCTTTCCATGCATCAATGCATCACTGCACGATCCCTTGTGAAAACGTGGTCCAGCCGTGTTGCCTTGCCAGCACCATTGAATTGACGTCCCCGAGGTTTGTGTGCACGGCACATACCGGCGCAATTTGGAGTCAATCAGGAGGAGACGCACGACTTCTGTTGCGTGTATGCTGTGCTGGACAGTGGAGTTGGGAGAGGCAGTGGGCAATAAGATGTCTGATTGTGTTTCCATGATTTGCGGAACAGGAGTGGCCTGATTGCCGGTGGCGGGGTGTCCGAGCGCAACCACATCCATTTTGCTCCGTTCGAACCACATGATGGCAGAGTTATCTCGGGTATGCGATCCTTGGAAGGATAATCAAAGAGAATGCATAGCAAGCAGATGTTCTGGGAGATCGAGAAGCCTGAGTTGTGCTGCGGGCATTTTGAGCGATGCATGCCTGCGGCTCGTGTCCACTGCCAAGGATACAACTGTGAGGCCCGAGAGCACTGCATGCCCCTCATGGACTGCGAAGCAGACAGTTGCCCCATGTCCGACTAAGATATCCAATGCGATTTCTCGGTTCTGTGCCAGGTTGCCATCTACATAGATTTGCGAGCTGCGATTCAGGTGGCTTGGCAGCCTGCAGCAACTTCCACTGCACAGACGCGTCTTGTAGAGTCTTCCTTCCGTCTGCCAAGAATGGAATTCCGTTCTTCCGGAGCGCGAATCAAGTGATTCTTTCGCCTGGGAAAGACGGAGTGCTTCCGGCTGCTTTCATTTCTCAGATTAAAGATTTGCAAACAGGAGCTTTGCTTTGAGCGTCGTCTCATGCTTGGCCTTGTTGCTTGGTTTCTGACTTCTGACGACCACGGCTGGTCCAGTGCTGGATCACTTGGCTTCAAAGCAGGCCAAACCCGTGAAAACACCAGAACTTAAGGACTTAAGAGGCTTTCAAACCCATGAGAAATCTTCTCGGAATGTCACCTCCACGAGCAGACACTGCTTGTAGACCTCTGAAGGTGCAAAGTCTGTTGCTTGCAGCCAGTGTTAAGGGAGCCAAAGTGAGCTAGAGAGCTCCAGACAACTCAGGCGGCTGAAAAAGCTCGCTGGTCTCGGTTGTGTCATGTCAACAGTTTTGTGACAGCGCTGCCTTGTGCAGCTCTTAGACTCTTGTTGCGTGCTGTGACAGCCTCAACACAAACCGACGTGACAGATCTTGACAGGCGATCGCGTCTGCAAAGCACCGACAGGAGCGGTCGTGGATCCATCTTCAGCGAGTCTGGTTTGGTTTAGGGTGCTGACAAACCTTGTTGGTGCAGAGATTTCGTCCAGACAGGCGAAGCGGCGAAAGGAGTGGCAGCAGGGCGTGAAGGCCAGGTGTGCGCATTTTCCAACATGAGCCGCTGTGCTGGGCAATCGGCCTTGAGGGGACCACGGTTGAAAAAGCCTCCGCAATAGACTCCCCAATTCCGTGGACCAGAACCAGGGATTAAGCAACTCTCGGAGCGCCGTACACGGACACCCTTACAGCTTTCGCGACTTACCCATCGTACACAGCATTGTGAAACACTTCGGATTCGCCACCAAGTGCAGAAGCGAGCGCCGTCGCACATGAAGCTTTAAACCCCCGTGGCCCCCGCATTTGACTTAAAGCCATGTCCAAACCGAGGAGGTGCTGGAGACAGTGCGCAAGCAGCAGAAGGAGGAGCGCATAACGCTTCAGGATGCTACTCTTCCACAGTTGATTTAAATCTAGGTTGGCTAACATGTTCTGGGACTCTAGTCTTTCGTTAAGCATGAAGCAGGCTAGTCGAACGCAAGAATGCGGTGCCATGCCTCGCACGTAAGCACGACCTCTTTGCACACACTTTGGCGCCCTGAATGCGCCGTTCACACTGTACTAGGACCTCATGCTACCGACTCGGCCGACTCGGGCTTCCTAATGCTGATGAGCGTGAGGATATCCATCTCGGCTGGGACACGCTTGATGCCTTCAAGCAGAGAAGGAAGCAACAACTGGATGACGAGGCTTGCAGGGTTGTTACAGACTTATCTCTGCCGCTGGTAGATTTTACACCCCTGGACTTCGCATATTCCGAGGCAAGAGTGTGGAAAAGTCGTCTGGAAGCAGAGCAAGAAGCGACAGCTTCCCAAAGAGAGAAGGCACCAGCAAGAGTTCTCTGTCTTGGGGCTTGGTTGAGGGGGTATGTGATTATGCCCAAACTATGCTGTCACCGAGGACGGAAAGATCTGGGTGCAAAAGTTCGCCCATGTTGAAGAAGAGGCCAACGCGCCATGACGCTCTCGTGCCTAAGCTTGTTGAGTTGGCTTGAGACTGTGCAGTCTTCCAGGCCTCTTATCGTCGAGAGGACTCTTCCTTGAGTGTCCACCGTGGTTTGATGATGTGGGCGATGGGACTTTGGCAGGAGCTTGGACGCCGGTACTCGAAGAGGCTGCGGGACTTTCGAGAAGACCTGCAGCAGAGAGCTGAGAACACCGAGGCCCAGAGCCTCTAAGTTTTCATCTGCGTGCGCAAAACAGCAGCATGGCGTGTGTGCATGCTGTGCAGTTACCTTGCGCAGGAGGTCCTAGCCGAGAAGATTCAAGAGGTGGGCAGTCTTGTCAGCAGCATTGTACAGATGACACTCTCAATGTCACCTCTCTTTCGGACAGTGATGGGTAGTTGCATGTAGACGTAGGCTCATTGTCCCATTGAGGTGTTCCTAAGTTGTTCAAGCGGACAGGAGATCGACAACATTGTCTCGAAGCAAGACGAGAGAAATATGAATTGCCTCTTATATTGCACCCGGCTAGTTTCTCCTTCGCTGTGCCTGTACTCGCCACGGTCAGCATGGCTGCATGCTTCCGGATGAACAATGGTTCTTAAGCAGCCACCTGCTATTCAGCAACCACTCCAGTTTTGTGTTGCACATCGACATGCAGGGTTGGCGCCTTTCGACTCAGTTTGTCCCGGTGTGCGTGTTGAGTATGACCATGAAGTATTTGCGGCGTTGATGTCAGGCGGCTTTCGTGAAATTGTGTCCGGGAGTTCAGCACAGCCACAATGATGAGAAAAAGTGTTGGCACCAGAGCTGAGGCTGTTGTCCATGAGCACAGACACACTTGCCCTCCAATGTTGAGTGGCGCACAGGCATGTGCATTTGGTGTTGTGGAATTGCAATGGCCTGACTTGATATGCTTTGAAACAGCTTGCTCCGTGCATGTCAAGCATGAGATCTCGTCGCATCGTTTGGCAGGTTTCTTGATGTCAGGCGGCTTTAGTGAAATTGTGT